TAAAAAAGGCAAAGGTTTTATTATTTTATCTTTTCTTTTAACTGGCTATACATTTTGTTATTTTTGTTTTCTGCTTTAAGGCTGCACTTTCTACAGCATGTTAATCATTAGTCATTCTTTATTTCTTCATGTGCTTCATCCTTGTTGATCCTGCCAGGAAAAGTGAAATAGCTGCACTTCTGCCAAGAAAGCAATATATACTAGTGAATTATTTCCAGAATGGTCACCTGTCCTTCGCGAGTACTCCCAGTTCAAGCCTAGTAACGGGCAGCACAGGATCCAAACACTCCAACAGTGGCCTAGAAGATTATTGCAAGCCACACTTTGTCAGGTGCCACGGGAAGATTACACGCAAGAGCTGCTATGGGTTACCCACCAGTACATGCTTCATGCCAATTTTGGATCATGCAAAGAAGATATTTAGGTTTCTATAACAAGAACACCACAGTGATTTTGCAACAAAAAGGGTGATAATAGCTTCCAGTTGCTGTGCATCCAAAACTGAATCCAAAATTTAATGGCAACTGAAGAAAGAGCTTACTAATAAAAAAAACAAGATCTCTCTTTTCTTTTTGTCATTTGGATAGAAAGTGAGGGAAAGAGAGCCATACAATCTTCAGGGATTCATTAATCTCCTCACTCTACTATTCCATTGCTGTGTTCCTAGTGTGTGTTCTGAACTCTTGCTGTCAGCCACTCTTGAAAAACTCCCGGCAAAATTTTATTATTTCCCATGGAGTGCGGCCTCACTGAATGGGTAACTGCCTGTGTTTGTCTAGGGAATTGTAGAGTAGAGATATACTTACCTAATCCGCTGATCCTCTGAGCGCAAGACTGGTCCCACCGCTCCTGCCCCCTGAACGCTAGCGGTCTTGTGATTGGACTGTTCCTAATATCACACCCATAGACTGGCTCTGGACAGGAGGACAGAAGGAACAGTCCACCGCTGGACATAGGGGAGCGTGGTTTTCCAGATGATCGAAGGTATAGCCTTTCGATGCGCCCCTAGACAAAAAGCAGTTAACCTATGCAGTGCAGACACAGCCCCCACTGCATGGGAGAAAAAAATATTCATGAAGTTCTTTAACTTGCCTAAATACCCCCTTCCTTACCAGGCCAATTTTCAGCAAGCGCTATTGGCAATAGGATTGGGCTTTAAAATACCACAAATATGGAGCCATATTTGTATGAACTAAAATTTTAAGTGTTGTAATACACACTGTGTAAAGCACCCAAAACGGATAGTGGAAGTAGAAATCCTTCTGTAACCAACGCCATCTGTATGTTTTGCAACAATAAGGTTGCAAAGGTCTTGAGAGAGCTTTTTGCTTTTACCCATAATGAGATGTTTCACCTTGGTAATGAGACACCTTTTTAAAGGCTATCAGTTGAGACTGCACCAGATAATATTAATTTGCACTGACAAGGGGCAGGATTGCTTTCTAATTACTGAGAGATTTTAGCTAGTGTCTTGGCTCACCTTTGTAACTCTTTCCAGATGGATATATATGTCATTTACATTGTTTCCCATCTGTTCTTTAATTTCTTTACTTTACTTTATTTCTTTAATTACTGCATGATGCTATGCTGCTTTTTGAGATTTTTTTAGCATGCTTCACTTTCTCAGACAGCTTCAATGTAAGTGATTTCTTGATTCAACAGGTTTGGCAGTAATTAGGCATGGGTGTGGCAAGTGAAATTTAACTCAACTTTCCAAAAAAAAAAAGTGGTAAATCACAGTATATTCATCATAGGGCCAGGCAGGTTTGGACAGCTTTTTCCCCTTAATGAACAAAATCATCATTTAAAAACTGCATTTTCTATTTACTCGGGTTATCTTTGTGTAATATTAAAATGTATTTGATGATCTGAATCATTTAAATGTGACATATATGCAAAGAAAAAGGAAAAGGGGCAAATATTTTTTCACCGATTTTATTTATACTAAAAAAATAAAAAGTTATATAATATATACAGTTGTGCTTAAAAGTTTGCATATCTGGGCAGAAATTGTGAAATTTTGGCATTGATATTGAAAATATGACTGATCATGCCAACAAATGCTCTTTTATTGAAGAATGATGATCATATGAAGCCATTTATTATCAAATAGTTGTTTGGCTCCTTTTTAAATCATAATAACAGAAATCACCCAAATGGCCATAAACAAAAGTTTCCCTCCCCTGGAATGTTTGGCCTTGGTACAGACACACAAGGTGACACACACGGGTTAAAATGCCAATTAGAGGTTAGTGTCCCACATCTGTGGCTTTTTAAATTGCAATTATTGTCAGTGTATAAATAGTCAATGAGTTTGTTAGCTCTTACGTGGAAGCACAGACTGGGCTAGATACTGAGCCATGGGGATCAGAAAAGAACTGTCAAAAGTGCTGCATAACAAGGTAATGGAACTTCATAAAGATGAAAAAAAAGACATAAAAAGATGATTGTACCAAAGTTGTACATCAATCGACTTGGGTACAACCAGCATGTCTGATTTCTAGAATGCGATTGTCAGCAGCTACAGCCACCAGCAGCAATGACTGTGTTCTCCTAGCATGGACAGCTCCCCGCACCGGGAGAACACAATAGCTCCACGGGAGGGATTCCCCATCAACACTGACTGTCTTGAGGGAATTGAGAGATTTGGGTTGCAGGAAAAAATTGCATAATCCAAGGCCTGTCTAAGCCTCCGGAATCCCTTGTAGTACAGCACTAGCCATACCTCAAACCAGTAGTGCTCAAACTTTTGAAGAGTGATGGCCACTTAAATAATTTGGTAACTGGTCGCAGGCCACAATGAAATGCTTCAGAATTTTTGAATAGCATAAAAAAAACATTTTCCTTTTGCAGCCACTAAACACTGGCAGGAGGGAGCGGAGGAGAAGCCAGCTTTCATTGGTTGCAGGAGGAAAATGAAGAGGATCAGTTCCTGTATATGCTGATTGGTTCCTGTATGTGACAGGGGTGCCGCAAAGACCCCTGAATCATGAAGCGGGGTCACCACTGCGACCCCCAATGCTACACCAGTGGTTGGGGATATGTGGTAAACAAACATCTCAACTATGGGGTTTTACTGCCTCCCAAATAGGAAATGTAAACAAGCCCTTACTGTCCTGAGCCCCCTATAAGGCTGTTTTCACACGGATGTGCTGCAGTTTACTCGCACCGCGGCTGCAGCGCACCTGCAGATTTCCTGCACTTTGCCATAGACCTCTATTATATTTTTCGGGTGTAGTTCACTTTGTGAAAGCACACCAAAACTCCTGCATTCAGGACTATTGGTTCCGTTTCAGAAAGTCTATAGCTGAGTGCAGCTAACTTGGAGGTGACACTGTGCTGCACCTGCGGATCAGCGTGAAAGCAGCCTAATAGATGTTAACCCTTTAATAGGTGCAAATACGCAAAACAAAAATTGCAAAAGTGCAATGTATGTGTTGTTTAGTAAATGGACCTTTCCCCCCCCCTCTTCCAGCTTTTGCTGGCACCGCTCTCCAGACTGCTATAAAGGTCCCAGGTGAAGAGCACCTATTATCACTCCATCTGGGTCGGCGCTGCAGAGGAAGCATTGACTTATGCGGCTACTGCTTCTTCTGCGGTACAATACACTCTGATACTCTGTAGTGGCAGGTCAGATCGCAATCAATGGGTTGTCAACTGGGCATGTACTTCCCTGGTTTGAGGTAAAGGGCCACGTCGCCCTCGGACCAGAGGTTGAGCACCCCTTCCCTAAGCCAACAATTTCTATTAATAAAATAAAAGTGAAACACTAAACAACTCAGCGTAGACTAGACTAGAATGCCTACATCATGCACACGGTATGCTCTATATACCTGTACTTAGATTGCCAAATAGCTTTATAGTCTGTTCACTCTCGCTGGTGGGATAGCTTATGCACAGTGTTCCAAAGCCACAAAAAAATGGCTAGCAAGCTATGCTGCAAAGCAACATCCAGTTCTCGACTTCAATCTTTTGCTGACACCTGCATAATGAACTGCAATTAAGAAGAGTCGACTGCAGTATGCTGTTCAAATCTTAACAAAACTTTTATAAGTGCCAAAAAATGAATAGAGGAAATAGTACACATAGGTACAGAGTGTACATATGCCTTGTGAAAAGCTGTAAAACCTTACTAAAACAAAGATCAGCTTCCTTCTTGGAACTGGAAGACCAACTACGGGTCAGTAAGCAAGGCAAATAGCAATGCATGGAAAAAAGCCAAAATAAATGACTTTTGGCAATACAATATTTTATTCCTTCCATGCAACTGATAAAAGGTTAGCAATAAAACACTCCTGACATAATTACAAAATAATCTTTAATGCTTTGGGGCTGGTTTTGCTTCTGCAGGTACCTAAAAAAAAAAAAAAAACAGCGTGTCAAGGTACCATGAATTCTCTTCAGTACCAGGAGATATTGGATGGAAACTGGGAGATAATATATATTTAGGTTGCCTGATACCTGTGCAAAGTCTCAAAACGGAGAAGCTAAAATTCAAGAAACAAGATTTTCTCCAAATGACAATACTATGGGATTGCTATTAAAAACACTAGCAACCATCCATATTTAATTGTTTAACCACTTGCCCTCCTGAGGATTTACCCCCCTTCCTGACCAGGCCATTTTTTTTTTTTGCATTATGACACTACGTTACTTTAACTGACAATTGAGCGGTCATGCAACACTGCACTCAAATTAAATTAACTTTTTTCCCCCCATGAATTGAGCTTTCTTTCTGTGGTATTTGATCGCCTGGGCGGTTTTTATTTTTTGCGCTATAAAAAAAAAAAAAATTTGGAGAAAACACAATATTTTTGACTTTTTGCTATTAACCAATTGCCAACCGCGCTATAGCCGAATGACGGCTACAGCGCGGTTGTCCAGTTCTGGGATGGCATCATATGACGTCCTCCCAGAACGTGCCTCTGGTGATCTCTGTGATCGCTGTGTCCTACGGACACCCAATCACAGCGGCCTTTTACCACGTGATCAGCTGCATCCAATGACACAGCAGATTGCCGGTAAATGCAGTTGCCGGTTATCGGCTGCACTTTCCTCATGCAGTCACAGCAGGAGGAAAGTACTGCTGATAACCGGCAATTGTCAGAGGACGGATTGGCACTGATGATCAGTGCCCTGATGATCAGTACCCAGCAGTGCCACCCACCTGTGGCCAGCAGTGCCAACCCATCAGTGCTGCCAGTCAGTGCCACCCATCAGTGCCCATCATTGTTGCATATCAGTGCAGCATCATCAGTGTCACCTATCAGTGCCCATAAGTGCTGCCTATATGTGCCACCTCATCAGTGCCGCCTATCAGTGCAGCCTCATCAACGCACATCAGTGAAGGAGAAAAATTAGCCGTCTGCAAAATTTTATAAATGGAAACTGTTCTTTGTTTATAGTGCAAAAAATAAAAACACCCAGTGGCGATTAAATACCACCAAAAGAAATCTCTATTTGTGTGAAAAAAAGGATAAACATCTCATATGACGACAGCGTTGCATGACCGCACAATTGTCAAAGTGCGACAGCACTGAAAGCTGAAAATTGGTCTGGGCAGGAAGGGGGTATAAGTGCCCGATAGGCAGGTGGTTAAACATGTCCAGTAAAAAATTTTTAATATCAAATTTCATCATAAATTTATACCAAAATGTCTTTGCTAAAAAAAAAAATCCCAAATTAATTGGTGTACATGAAAGTTATATTGTGTACAAATGACAGTATAGATACTGGAATTTTTATATATATATATATATATATATATATATATATATATATATATATATATATATATATCACTAGTAATGTCTGCAATCAGCGACTTATAGCGGGACTGCGGAGGACATTCTGACACTGGGGGGGAAACTGACTGTCACTGACATCCCCAATGACACCAATACAGTGATCAGTGCTAATAAAAAGCACTGACACTGTACTAATGGCACTGGGCAGGAAGAGGTTAATATAAGGGGCGATCAAAGAGTTAACGGTGTGCTGGGAGTGTTTTACTAGGGGGCTGTGTCAGTGTGCTTCACTGTAATCACACTGCTCTGGATGGCTGTGCTGTGCACAGCCATCCAGAGCAGCGTGCCCGAGCTGACAGTGAGGAGGACGACTGTTGGTAAACAAAACAGTACTCCTTCCCAGAGATCTTCAGAAATCACCGGGCACCGGAGAGTAATTACCGGTCGGGACCCGGTGATTGACAGCCGTGAATTGCGGCGCGGGCCCCCTACCCGGAAATGCAATATCACGTATATATACACACATGATTTTGCAAAACCGTGCAACCCTGTAGCAGTACTTCTGCTATAGGGCAGTGCAGAAGTGCTAATGAAAAAAAAAAAAAAAAAAAAAAAAAATCAGTAGATATCCATTACCATTTACCAATAATGGAAAGCCCTATTTGTCCTGAAAAAAATGCAGTATAATTCATCTGGATGTACAAATTAGTTGTGATGATATGTACGGTTTTACTAACACGTCAACATTGCAAAATTGTGCTTAGGCCTTAAGATTTGTTTTACCCTTAGGCGTGAAAGGGTTAAAGGATAAGATTACCTTTGGAAACATGTTACATGTTCCACCAGTTTTCAGGGTGGAACATGTAGCATGTTCCCGATCCTGCAGCTTCCGCCCGCTGCCTCCCCCCCTCCCTGTGACAGACGTACGGGCAGAAGTTTCCCGTACTAGCGGTCACTTTTCAAAAACAGCATGGCCGTGCAGGGCTCCGCCCACATAGCTGTGTCATTCATTCACAGTCCTCTGTGAATGCATGGACTACAAACCCTGATATCCTTAGAGGCTGTCGGCTTGTAGTCCTCAATGAACTATCACAGCTCTGTGGGTGCGGAGTTAGTTCATTGAGTCTTCCTGTCAGCAAGTGTCAGTACAGTGTGAAGGAGACCTGCATGGCATCGGCGATCTGATGATCGTTGGTGCAATGCTTTATAGACTCCCAACACAAAAAATAATAAATGCACATTTTTTACCTGCAAAAAATGTGCATTTATTATTTTTTGTGTGAAGGTGAACTTATTCTTACAGTCTTATCAAACTTTTCTTTACATCTTCCTGTCCCCCAGGGCAAACGTGCATTTAGCACTTTAATATTTTTCAGCCTTTTTTTCTTTTATGTAGTAAAAAACACAGTAGTTATTAAATACCGCCAAAACAAAGCTATATCTATCCAAAAATATTTACTATACATCTGTGTACAGTGTTGCATGACTAATTGTATGTCAAACAATCACAGCACTGAAAACAGTGTAATGCTGCTATTGAGGTGGTTAAAGAGGTCATGTAGAAAGAAGTACCAATACATACAGAAAGTCAATTAACAAAAATATGTTGACAGATTCTTTGCTGACTATGCATTTCGTTATTTTTATTATCTTGGAGATAAAGTAATTATAGCAAACCATAAAAAAAAAAAAAAAAAACCACAGAACATAAAGCAATTGACATATCACTTCACCTGCTGTGTCATTTCTAATGGTTGCTGTATATTATATTAGATTTATCAGATTGCTTTATTGCTTTGTTACAGATTAAGATGCACTTGTGGTGATGCATTGAAGTAATCTAACAGGATTACCCAGAGAACGCAATGTATTTGTAAGAAGCAATGATGTCACAAAAGATAAAACATGTTAGATAACAACGAACCATCACAATCCAAAGCAGAAACCGATCCACACCGAAGAAATCCTTGTCGTCAAATGTCACTCTGAATGTGTAAAAATCCATATACACCTTTCCAACATATGTTAGTGGACCACTTCCCAGCATACCCTTTTGCTCAGACTGCAGACTAGGCTAAAGCAGTTTATAGATTATGTGATTTTCTTTCCTTTCACCATGGATGGAAGGAAACAAAATTGCTCGCTGTTGATGGGGTAATCCCTCCCACAGCGCTATTGTGTTCTGCTAGCATGGCCTTCTGAGTCAGCACAATACAATGATTACTGCTAGCGGCTATAGCTGCCAGAAACGATGAGATGTAAAAAATCTGATGGGTCGACTTGGGTACAACCAGCCTGCCCATCGATGGATTGAATCTCAGCCTTTCCCTGCTAAACTGGTTGAGAAAATGTCCAAATTGGGCCCAAAGTGTCAATATTTTGTGTGGCCACCATTACTTTCCAGCACTGCCTTAACCCTCTTGGGCATGGGGCACCAGAGCTTCACAGGTTGACACTGGGGTCCTCTTACACTCCTCCATGACGACATCGCAGAGATGGTGTTAGAGACCTTGCACTCCTCCACCTTCCATTTGAGGATACCCCACAGCTGTTCAATAGGGTTTAGGACTCGAGACATTCTTGGCCAGTCCATTATTATTATTATACAGGATTTATATAGAGCCAACAGTTTGCTCAGCACTTTACAAAATAACGGGAGACAATACAGCAACAGTACAGTTCAATACAAGAGGGTTAGGAGGGCCTGATCCTTGCCACCTTTACCCTCATCTTCTTCAGCAAGACAGTGTTCGTCTTGGAGGTGTCTTTGGGGTCATGTTGGAATACTGCCCTTCGGCCCAGTCTCCAAAGGGAGGGGATCATGCTCCGCTTCAGTATGTCACAGTACATGTTGGCATTCATGCTTCCCTCAATGAACTGTAGCTCCCCATTGCCAGCAGCACTCATGCAGCCCCCAACCATGACACTCCCACCACCATGCTCCAGTAATCCATGTCCTTAGTCTGCTTGTCTTCAGCAAATGGTTTGTGGGCTTTGTGCATCATCTTTAGAAGAGGCTTCCTTCTGGGATGACAGCCATGCAGACCAATTTGATGCAGTGTGCGGCGTATGGTCTGAGCACTGACAGGCTGACCCCCCACCCCTTCAACTTCTGCAGCAATGCTGGCAGCACTCATACGTCTATTTCCCAAAGACAACCTCTGGATACGACGATGAGCACGTGCACTCAATTTCTTTGGTTGACCATGGCAAGGCCTGTTCTGAGTGGAACCTGTCCTGTTAAAACGCTGCATCGTCTTGGCCACCATAATGCAGCTCAGTTTCAGGGTCCTGGCAATCTTCTTATAGCCTAGGCCATCTTTATGTAGAGCAACAATCCTTTTTTTCAGATCCTCAGAGAGTTCTTTGCCATGAGGTGCCATGTTGAACTTCCAGTGACCCATATGAGAGAGTAAGAGCGATAACACCAAATTTAACACACCTGCTCCCCATTCACACCTGAGACCTTGTAACACGAGTCACATGACACAAGGGAGGGAAAATGGCTAATTGGGCCCAATTTGGACATTGTCACTTAGGGATGTACTCACTTTTGTTGCCAACGGTTTAGACATTAATGGCTGTGTGTTGAGTTATTTTGAGGGGACAGCAAATTTACACGGTTATACAAGCTGTACGCTCACTACTTTACATTATAGCAAAGTGTCATTTCTTCAGTGTTGTCACATGAAAATATATAATAAAATATTAACAAAAATATGAGGGGTGTACTCACTTCCCCCCAAAACTGGTTTAGGAGCACTCATTCAATGTTTTGATGAAGCTCAGTCAGTTTTTCTTACAGCATTTTCATTTGATGCAGTTTATGACAACCATACTTCCATATCTTGTTTGATGTTTCTGTTGGATGGCCATGTGGAATATTTGTTTTCCCATTTACTATTGTGAAAAGTTATGAACCAGCAACAGAACCAAATACCCCTCTAAAGTGGGTGCAGTTGGTATGATGTTTAGGGTCTTTCCTGTCACCAAGCATTTAAAACTGGTTACTTTGAGACATTAACAAGTCAGTTCTATTATTGCTTATATTAACCACTTCTGGACCAGCGATGTACCTGTACTGGTACAGCCACTGGACTTTCAGTGGCTGTACCAGAGTGATTTTTTTTTTTTTTTTTTTATAGAGGCGGCAGTTGGCTCTCTTGTCCATGCACTGAGTGTGGCTAATAGCCACTTGAATGCTTGTATAAACAGCAGTAAGGGACGTCCCCCCCCCTCCTCTCAGGATCCCCTATTCTACCGGGAGTCCCAAGCGACCAGCCAGTGCGTCTGCCAGCTGGCCGGGCAGCCGAATAAAGCTGGAATCTATTTTGATCGGCTGTCCTTTATTGAAAACAGGAAGAGATTACCCGAAATCACTTCTAGTTTACTCGGAAACTTTCAGCACCATTAAAAAAAACACCGATCTTGGTGCTTTGAATGCTTTCAAGTGCAGAGGAGGGATCTGGGGTCTCATAGACCCCAGATCCCTCAATAAAAATACCTTTTATGTGTCTATTGCTGTCACAGAGGATGTTTACATTCCTTGTGACAGCGATAAAAGAGATAATAAATAAATAGCCTCTGAACTCCCGAGTAAAGGTGAACGCACGGCGCAGTCAAGCACACATGCAAACAGCGATTATCCCACACGAGGTATCACTGTAATCATCAGATCATGGGCAATAATTATAGCACTAGACCCCCTCTGTAAATCTAAAGTGGTAGCCTGTAGAGGCTTTTAAAGTGTCACCTATGAGGCTCCATACACATTAGCATTTTTTAAGTTAAAAAATGCAGGAAAAACACTGGATAAAAAACGCTGGTAATAGCATTCAAAATCATTAGCATTTTACTAGCCTTTTACAGTACATGTAAAGGAAAAAAAAAACAAAAAGCTATATAAAAGCTGTTAGGAACATTTAGCTTTTTTTTCTGCTGGAAAAAACACTCCAAAACACTCTACAAAAAACATTTTTTCTGCCCCTGGACACTGAAGCTCATAAAAATGCTAATAAGCCTAAAGTAGTATGCATGGACACATAGGGTAACACTATTTAGCTTCTAGGAGCAGAAAAAAAATGCTGATAATAGCACTGAGAAGCTTAAACAAATGCTAGTGTGCATGGAGCCTACATAGTACAATGTACACCGTTAGTCGTCGCTGCAGGGGAGTGCGCAGTTTTAAAGCATGACATGTTTGGTATCCATTTACTCAACGCAACAATCTGTAGTGTTTTACATTGTATTGTGTTTTAATTTTTGCAATAAATCTAAAAACAAATGTGTATTTTTGTTCCCCAAAATTGAGTTTGAAAAACCGCTGCAGAAAACCATGTACCATTAAAATAAAAAGGCAAAAACCACCAATTTATTCTCTAGGGCCTCTGCTTCAAAAACTATATAATGTTTGGGGGTTCTAAGGCATTTTCTAGCAAACATTATTGATTTTATACTGTAAACAAAAAGTGCCAGAAATGGCTTGGAGCTGAAGTGTTTAACTAAAGGCAAAACTTTTTTTTAAAGATTTGAATAGAATGGAGAGGGGACTAGAAAGCCTATCCGTTTTTAATACCATCTGTGCCTCCATTTGGTAGATTAGGGAAATCTTCTAATTGGGACACTAGTTCTGGTGAACTGTGTCCCCAAGGAATTCCCTTAATTTGTAGGGATTTCCTTTCACTTACTGTTTGGCTATGGGCCAGGAAGTGAAGGGCAATCTCCGTAATGGAACACAGATGGCGGAAAAAAAAAAAAAAAATCTGACAAGGGTTATAACCTTCTCTTACTCTATCCAAAAAAAAAAAAAAGTTTTGCCTGTAGTTCTACTTTAAGCAAAGGAAAATATAGATACCATTTTAGAACCAAGTGTTAGCCTTCATATTCTAAAACCAGAACATTTATATCTGAAAACTGACTGGCTTTTTTTCTCAATGTAAAAAAAAATTAAAATAAAAAAAAAATTGATACATGAGGCCACACAAAACATTTGGAATCTTCAGGACAAACACACTAACACATTCTTCAGTCAGATTAGAACCAAAATTGGAGATCATTCTTGGAGACTCACCTTGTCCACATTAAAGATCAAGTCCAGTTCACATACATTTTCAAAACATTTATCCAACGTCTCCACAAAAACCTGCAAGCAATGCAAAAAAGTAATGTTTCATAAGAATGCAAAAACATTCAGTTCCAGCCCCTAAAGCCCAAGTATAGCTAAAAGCTAAAAACAGAAACATTAGCACAAGGGACATAACTTAGTGTCAATAAGTGGTGTCCCTTGTACTTATTCCTATTCTGTTAGCAGAAATCTTTCTCCATCCATGCACCCCACTCTGTCTTCTGGTGTGGCGGGGGTTACTAGAACTAAGAGGCTGTCACAGACTCCTATCAAGAGAGCCTGGCTATGCCTGCCCTTTTTGGCCTGCTGCTTCATTCATAGAAGCCACCCTACAATCTCTATGAATGCAGGATGGGTGTATGATGGAAAGATATCCCCCCTCCACTCAAATCAGGCTTCACTCATTAAAGCTGTTTTATGGCTTCTACTTATGGAGGAGCTGGGCACAAAAGGCAGGCATAATCAGCCTCTTGAGAAGCTGTGACAGCCCCTTCGTTTTAGTAACCCACGCTGAACAGGGAGTTTAAAGTGATGGAGGTGAAGGGTCATGAATGGAGTGGAATTTACTAAAAGAAGCGCAAACACCACAAGGGACTCATTCTGAATAATGTCCTTTGTTCTGTTTTTGTTTTGGTTTTTTTTTACCCTTTAGCTAATCTTAGGCTTTAATTTAATTAATTCCCATGTACTATTGTTTTATGTGCAATTACCTATTCTTTACAACATCACACAATTGAGAAATGTTAGGGCCTACGTTAGGTTTTTAACGTTGTGTTCCTGCTGCAAATTTCTCCTTGTAATTGGTTTGTAGCTAAAGAAATATAGGATTCATTGTTGTCCAAAATCATTAAAAAAAAACTACCTTCAACTCAAAAGTAGAGCTGTGCTGCAACCACAGCTCTGGGATCACTGCCACTCTGCTACGAAACACCTGCACTCCCGGAGTATCTGTCCCCTGGTGGCTTTCTGCAGCTCAAAGCAAGCACTTCAAACTAAAGTCTGATATCCAAAGGGAAAGGGCAGGGGAACACTACTTCCGGACATTATTCCAAGGGTGCAAATCTCTAAAAAGTCCAATTGTTGATTATGTTTTTTTCAGGGTTGAAGCTTCCAGGGTCCACGTCCTACCAGGTAGCCAGACCTCATTTTTAGTCTCAAATGCATACAGACCATTATGTGAGATAACCAATGCTCAAGGCTCTCTCTCCCATAGACACCCTCCTAAACCTTGTGGACGGCCTTCCCAGAAGAGTTGAAGCTGTTATAGCTGCAAAGGGTGGACCAACCCAATATTGAACCCTATAGACTAAGACTGGGATGCCATTAAAGTTCATGTGCGTGTAAATGCAGGCCGACCAATACTTTTGGCAATATAGTGTATATCAGGGGGTCTCTAAACTTTCAAACCAACGACCCATTTTACGGTCCCACAGACTTTTGGGGTCCTGACTGTGGCAGTGGAAGTAGAAAATGTCAGTGGGAGTAAACAATGCCCCATCTTTGGTATCAGGGGGAGGAATAGTGCCCAATGTTGGTAAGAGTGGAAGGAATAGTGCCCCATCTATGGTGTTCGTGGGAAAAATTTTGGCCCATCATTAGTGTCAGTGGGAGTAATAATGCCCTGTGGTTGGTGTCAGTGGGAGGAATAATGACACATTGTTAATGCCAATGGCAGAAATTATGCCCCACTGTTATTATCAGTGGAGAGAATAGTGCTATTTATCAGAGGGAAGAATAGTATCCTTAGCGTTGGATAAAAATAAGCAAAGGGCCACATCCGGCCCCAAGATATAATAATAGTCTATGGCAAAGAACAGCTAACCCACCGGAAAGAAGCACTGCACTGCACCTGAGGTGCGGGTAAACTGCAGAGCATCAATGTGAAAGAAGCCTAATAGGAGACCCAGGCAAGTAAAGGCTTGTTTACATTTTCAGTTCGGCAGGCAGTAAAGCCCCATATCCGAGATGTGTTTTTACCATCCCCTCCCCAACCACTGCTGTAGAGTCTAAGGTCACAATGGTGACCCAGCCCCATGCTCCAGGGGGCCCGTGCGGCTTTCCTGTCACATTCTGTCCTCCCCTATATAGGAGGGGTGGCATATACAGGACTGATCCTCTCCATTTCCTCCTACAACCGCCAAAAGCCGGCTTCTCCGCATCTCCCTCCCGCTGGCATTCAGCAGCTGCAGGAAGAAAATATTCATTATGCTATTCAAAATAAAAAATTCTAAACTCTGAACCATTGCATTTCATTGTGGCCCGTGACTGTTTACCAAATCACTTAAGTGGCCCTTGCTCTTCAGAAGGTTGATCACCCCTAACTTAGAGCAACATGACCATATTATGAAGTACACAGCAGAGACCTTTGTAATAAGTTTTAAGCACATGCAATGCTTGTTTTTCAAATCCAAGAATGTAAATCACCATGCCCAGCAATATTCACTTTATAACCCCCTGCACTAAAACCCCAGTCACTACTGATGTTGATGTAATGATTAAGCCACTTTTCTTTCAACCT